ATAGATATATTGGAGCACAGCTCCGTGTGCCTATACACAACCATCATCATTGGTATCTTTGTATTACCATAAATATCAACAATTTTGGTATCCCATTCCCTCCTCTGTCCTTTCTTCTATTCCAAAGTTATTTCTCAAGATTACAGCCTTACTGTTAGCATATTTGGCTTTTACGGGTGTTATTTTCTTGATAATCTCCTCCTTCAATAAGACTCAGCAAAGTTTACATGATATACTTAAGTGTCTGTTAAAAGAATAACTAACCATCTCCCTATATTCAACATCTAGAAGCAACTATACATACTTAACACGGGGCTTGGTTCAAAAGAGCAGCTTCAAAGAATTAGGCCATAAGAGTTTCACAAGAAAGCAGTCTGATTGTCGTAGGCTGGATGATTTTAGCAAGGATATTGTTTCCTGGTCTTTGCTCCACTGATCTACAGTGATTTCTCCTACCTTGTTTTTTTAAGAAAAGTTCACAAAAATCATGCTATGCTATTTTGCCTCCTGATGTTATGGGTTATTCATCTGAAATGGTATAGAATTTCCTGCTTGAGCAGGGGTTGGACTAGACGACCTCCAAAGTCCCTTCCAACTCTGTTATTCTGTTACCTTTGAACTAGAACCTACAGCAGTCCTTCAGATGCTGGTGGCTGAATCCCCACAATATAGATAGGGTAGAGATAGGAAGGGGACTGTGATACAACATGAGGCTATGTGTTTGGAACTCAAGGGAAACTTAACATAGCTTCACTCAAATTTTATAGACCAACTATCTTAGAATTAATTACTTATCTCATTTCACAAGATCGTATGTTGCCCAGCACACCTCTACAGTAAAGGCTTTTCATAAGCAAGGAGGAATCAAATCTCATCCTGAAAGCTAGAAGCAATGTGGCCCCGGGAAAGCATCAACCAGTGTGTCCAGGGGTACCTAAAAATCTTCCTGCAAAAGGTTGCAATGAAATTGTCTTTCTCCGAGTAGACCTATTAACAGATATAAGACTCAACATGCTTAATACATGATAAAGCTTTATCTACAGTCTTAAAAGATTTTAAAAGATTCAGCATTCTTGTCACCAACTGTACATAGAATTAGCCTGATAAGCTGCATGCGGTCCTGTAGGACCTGCAAAGGACTCCATCTGAGCTACTAAAGACAATATCCCAGAATTGCATTTCCTTAGATAGTTTCTTAGTTGCCATAATTTTTTACATTTACATAGCCTCAAAAATTAATTCTCTCTTAGCTAGTAAGGAAGTTTGCATTTTCACAAAGGCATAATCATTCTGTGTCTAGACTTTGTTTTAATTTCTTTTCTTACCTCCCTGCTACAAATGGGCTATTTGCCTGCCAAGGTATACCAGACATGTATCTGTTCTATGCCAGGTGGTCTCATTTTTTTATCAAGCACGGACCAATGAAATGAAGCATGTAATAATACTGTATGATAATCAATTTTAGCATATTTTAATGGCCTTACAAATTACAGAACACTTAAGCATAATTAGAGTCTCTTTCTTAAATAGGTTCCCTTAAGATAGTTATAGAAACAAACTCCCATAAGGGAGGGGGAAAAAACGTGCCTTGTATGCTGTTCCAGCCTCAGAAAGCAAATGTCGTGGTGAGAACCTTTGTGCCTTTTATTTTCTAGGTTAACCAGCTGATGAGAAAGTGTTGGGTACACGATCCTAGTGAGAGGACAACTTTTCACAATCTGATTCAAGGCTTTGAAACACTCATTACGAAGTTATAATCTCACATTTTTATACTGTCACTGTTAAATATTTTTAAAAAGACGGCCTGTTGCTACGTTTTGTAATTTTGCAGTTCAGTAATGCCCTATTCCTTTTTGCTTGGAAATAAGAGTTTGCTACTCAAGTCAGCCCTAGCAACAAAAGCATTGAGTGCTTGGCAGTTGACATCTGTGGGATGGCCAGAAGTGTTCTGTTCCGTTCATTTAGGTTCTAACTGGTGAAAATAGGATTGGTCTGTGCAACATATGAATGCTATCAGAATTTTTAAAAGAAAGCAGAAGTTTTGTCAGAATAATGGCCTTAAAGTATGGAGCATTTTACATTACTTCTTCATGAAAATGTATGTTATGCAAAAATGCTAATACTGTTTTTGCCAGAAGAGCCATACAAATATTCCTATCCACTGAGAAGACTTATATATGGATCTGTAACCTTCATATTCAGTTATCCACGTAACTGAGTAGGATACTTTTGAAGTCATCTTAAAAGTGTAAAAATTTATATCGTATTATGGATACTTGCTATTCATAGGAAGAAATTACTGTAAAGCATATTGTTGGGAACTCACTAGTTATGTCCCAGCCTATTTCTTTTTGTATATTGTGTATTTGTAAACTTGTTTCCTGTATGCTTGGTACCACCCAGCCTCATCACGTGTATAGAGCCAAGACCTCCGCTAGTAATTCATCCCGAGGACATTGTTTGAAATTTTCATTTATTTACTTCCCTTTAAATGGAAAACTATGAAAATGGTCTGTTTAAATTTGTCATTTTTGGTTGGGGGAAGAATGTTAGATTAAGATATTTGGGCCATCGCCAAATGGCAATGGTTGCTCCTTTTACTATCGGGAAATTTCCAAATGAAACATTCATGTAACTTTGATTTTTTTTTTTTTTATACAGTAGGTCTTATGCAGAATGCAGGATTTTTATATACCCACCTTTTATATGTGAGGCAAATAGATAAATGGAAAAGCATTATGTCAATATTGAAGTGACACACTGCATGCCTGATAATATTTTTAATAAACGTCATGAGACAAATCAACAAACTAAGCAGCTAGCCAGAGAAGTGACTTGTGTGTATTTTCAATTCTGAATTGCAATGCCCCTTCCGCACAAGATTGTTGCCACAGATAAAATATAATACAATACATTATTCACCAATAATGTATGTATTTTACCCGCAGTTTATAAAGGAAATAGAACTTTACAGTTCTATTACAGAAAGGCTTTTAATTTCATTGGTCAATTCTAAGTAGACTTAACCCAATCCGTTGAATCTAACTAAACCTGATCCCTTCTATATTTTGAATTGAAGGAAAATGGCAATATGCATATACATGAAAAGGAGTCATGATACTGGATTTACCAGATTGTCCTTTTCACCGTCAATTCACAAGTATTTTTTAGGTTAAAAGAAAAATAGGGCATTCTTCTTTAAAAGGAAGCTATTCTTTCCTAAAATAAAACGTTGCATTTACAGAGTAATTCTGGATTTGTAATAATGTAAAATGTAATTTTAATCCTAACCCATCTTTCAAATTGCCTGTTGTTTTATGTAATCTATAAATATTCTATATGCACTTTGTTATTCTTTATTAAAAAAAAACTTCTTGATTTTATCCAGGAATGTTCATCCATTTTTTAAAAATGTTCTAAATAAAGACTTTGTGCTCAAGCTTGTACTTGGTGTACTTTGAAGTGATTGATCCATCTCAGCCATTTTTGTGTTTGTCATTTTCATGTCCATTTCCCTGATACCTGCTCATTATAGGGGCCACCAAATAATGACTCTTTGGGCTGTGCGACAACCTAAGAAAGAACACACTAAGAAAGATTATGACTATGCATATCAACTGGAATGCCTACAGTTGGTTAATTATGGCCAAATACAGCATAGGATTTTTTTAAAAAAAATGTTTCATAGAAGCCACTGGGGCAAGGGTGCACAATTTCATAAAGAACTGTTGGATATTAAATATTTGCTCTACTACTGGATACCCCTGGAAATTCAGTCTAATTCTACTGGCACGATGGCTCAACAATTAAGACTGGGCTTATCGGCTGGAAAACCAAGAGCCCGGGTTCGATACCTGAGCGTCGCATGACTGAGTGACCTCCCGTCCTTGCACTATCTCCTGCCAACCTAACAGTTCGAAAACATGCAGATGTAACTAGATAAATGGGTACCACTTCGGTGGGAAGGTAACCGTACACCATGATGCCATATTGTCCACATGACCTCGGAAATGTCTTTGGACAGTACCGGCTCAATGGCCCTTGAAATGGAGATGAACACTGCCTCCTAGAGTCAGAAATGACTAGCAGAGTAAAATCTGCAGGGACTTTATCTTACAAAGTACAGGACCTCTATGCAGAACTTCACTTCCCATTATATATACAAAGAAGCCTTTTATAAAGCTTCCCACAATTAAATTAAGGAAGGGCATATTGTTTGAGCTTGTATGGGCAAATGGAGGAGACACTAATTAATTGGGGTTTTTTTGCATTTCTACTTTTTTTTTCTACTCACGTCTAGCATATGTCTAAAAGTTGCAATCTGAGAGCATAGACAAAGTAATTATTCATGCTTCTGTGATATATCCACAGAACTATAATATTAAAGTTGTGGACGAAGTCATTGGACTTTTGCACTCCTCCCATTCCTTACTATAGGCATACATTGAGGAGGTTCACTTTGTAAACCAGCTATAGGACTGTCACTTGATAAAGATATAATCAGGCAATACAATCTTATCATAATTGCTTATTTCCTAAATTTCTGTAACATTGCAGATAAAAAAAGTTGACTGGTTGCCCAATGTGTACATTCTTCAGCTGATTTAACCTCGTCCTATATGAGCGAGGTGGACTAAACTATATAGGCTTGTAAGAACATTAACTTGCCCATTTTTGAAGAGTTTGATTAGTCAAAAGGTAATGGAAATGTAATGAGACCAATACATAAATATAGTGGGTCCAATTAAGGTTGCACTATACATGCTGCCAGACGTGTCTGCCTTCTTCCAGGAGCATACAACCAAAACCCATTACTTAGTGTTAAAATATGACACTTAGGTCTAATTCTACAGAACAGCTGCTTGCTGCAATAAAGCTGCCATTGAACTCAGTGGCACAACCCCAATAAACATTTCAATCAAATTCAAATACACTTAGTTTTTTTATGGGTAAAGTCATATTACAGTTCTCAATACTGTGAGCACACAGTAGTAAAGAAGCCTGTTTCAAGCACATTTTTACTCACAAGAAAAGTAGACTAGTTAGAAAGCATATCAACAGAAGCATTTCATGTATGTACAAAGTATTACCTCTGGGGAGCGTCCCCACAAATGATCAAAAAAGTGACAAAAAAGAGTTTCCAAGTTGGAAGTGAGATAAATCAGGTGTCTGCAAGAACAATCTGGAAAGCATATTCATTTAATTAAATGCAAGTGACTAATATAAATTCAGCTCCAACTGGATATTAAATATTCATACACGCTAAATTTGAACATGTGTTTAAATATTGTCTAGATTTAGGACATATAACCTTAAAGGCCAACATCTACAGATGTAAATCTAATATCAGTCCTTCATTTCCACAGAAACTTTGTCATACATACTTTATATTTCAACAATATTATTTTCAGTACAAGTGTATCTTGACATTTTTTTTAACTTACTGCTAGGAGAGTTGTATGATATTTACATTTGAAAGTTGTAAATCTAAACTCAATCATCTCAATAATAGTGTATCGTTATTATTGTGAAACAGAATCTTCTTCAATCACGGACCTTAAGTCATCAAAGATATTTCTTTTAACATCACTGATCAGCATTATTGCTTTTTAAGGGTATCAATGCAGTTTCTCAGCAAGACTGTAGGAAAGTTCTATTATTTCATTACTTTGAGAGTAGCTCTCACACCATAATATTGCTGTCCTTTTAAAACACATTTTAAAACATGTTTAAACCCAAACAACAAAAAATTAAATCTGGAAGACAAGAGCCTCTTTCCCATACCATTTTTCCTTATCAAAACTAATTTTTGCAATATTATTGCACATGTTATCTACAATATATATTAAAAGGTAACAGTAGAAAGAATGATACAAGAAGTGACTTTGATTTCAATTAGATAGAAATCTTAATAGACACGTTTTCTTTTAAGGTACAATTTTGTGTAATGCACTCCAGAGCCCTGAGGGTGTGGGCCAACATACTCCACTGGATTGTCTTCTGGATTTGTGATGAGGTATGAAGAGCTCCGCTTTTCATTTTTTACTGGAGTCATCTAAGATTATAAAAAGTCAGGCATAGTAATGTGTCAATCACAGTAAAGTCAAACCTAGAGAATGCTGAATTTGATGTCTGATAAGCTCTTAACCGTGATCCACACAGGAAAATGATCTTAACAGATATAAATGGTTTCAGAATTTTATTTCCCTGGGTTATATATTCCTGGATGGAGTTGTATAAAGTATTCTTGCAGGTGGAAAAGGAATCTACAGTGGGGCAAAAAAGTATTTAGTCAGCCACCAACTGTGCAAGTTCTCCCACTTAAAAAGATGAGAGAGGCCTGTAATTGTCGTCATAGGTAGACCTCAACTATGAGAGACAAAATGAGAAAATAAATCCAGACAATCACATTGTCTGATTTGGAAAGAATTTATTTGCAAATTATGGTGGAAAATAAGTATTTGGTCACCTACAAACAAGCAAGATTTCTGGCTCTCACAGACCTGTAACTTCTTTAAGAGACTCCTCTGTCCTCCACTCGTTACCTGTATTAATGGCACCGGTTTGAACTTGTTATCAGTATAAAAGACACCTCTCCACAACCTCAAACAGTCACACTCCAAACTCCATTATGGTGAAGACTAAAGAGCTGTCGAAGGACACCAGAAACAAAATTGTAAACCTGCCCCAGGCTGGGAAGACTGAATCTGCAATAGGCAAGCAGCTTGGTGTGAAGAAATCAACTGTGGGAGCAATAATTAGAAAATAGAAGACATACAAGACCACTGATAATCTCCCTCAATCTGGGGTTCCACGCAAGATCTCACCCCATGGGGTCAACATGATCACAAGAACGGTGAGCAAAAATCCCAGAACCACACGGGGGGACCTAGTGAATGACCTGCAGAGAGCTGGGATCAACGTAACAAAGGCAACCATCAGTAACACACTACACCGCCAGGGACTCAGATCCTGCAGTGCCAGATGTGTTCCCCTGCTTAAGCCAGTACATGTCCGGGCCCATCTGAAGTTTGCTAGAGAGCATTTGGATGATCCAGAAGAGGATTGGGAGAATGTCATATGGTCAGATGAAACCAAAGTAGAACTGTTTGGTAGAAACACAACTCGTTGTGTTTGGAGGAGAGAGAATGCTGAGTTGCATCCAAAGAACACCATACCTACTGTGAAGAATGGGGGTGGCAACATCATGCTTTGGGGCTGTTTCTCTGCAAAGGGACCAGGACAACTGATCCGTGTACAGGAAAGAATAAATGGGGCTATGTATCGTGAGATTTTGAGTGCAAACCTCCTTCCATCAACAAGGGCATTGAAGATGAAACGTGGCTGGGTCTTTCAGAATGACAATGATCCCAAACACACTGCCCGGGCAATGAAGGAGTGGCTTCGTAAGAAGCATTTCAAGGTCCTGGAGTGGCCTAGCCAGTCTCCAGATCTCAACCCCATAGAAAACCTTTGGAGGGAGTTGAAAGTCTGTGTTGCCCAGCGACAGCCCCAAAACATCACTGGTCTAGAGGAGATCTGCATGGAGGAATGGGCCAACGTACCAGCAACAGTGTGTGCCAACCTTGTGAAAATGTTTGACCTCTGTCATTGCCAACAAAGGATATATAACAAAGTATTGAGATGAACTTTTGATATTGACCACATACTTATTTTCCACCATAATTTGCAAATAAATTCTTTCCAAATCAGACAATTTGATTGTCTGGATTTGTTTTCTCATTTTGTCTCTCACAGTTGAGGTCTACCTATGATGACAATTACAGGCCTTTCTCATCTTTTTAAATGGGAGAACTTGCACAATTGGTGGCTGACTAAATACTTTTTTGCCCCACTGTATCTACAATTTTCAATGTTGCCCTTCTAGGATATTGGCTTTAAAGAAGCTACTAATTTTTTTAGAGGAGGACTACGTGAGGCAGGTGAAATCCTGACTACAGGAGACCTAAGTTGATTCCAATTTCATGGTTACTCTGAAAAAGTTCCATTATTAAAATAAAGACAAATAGGATTCATAGCAACTCTAATAAATTAGCACTATCTCAGAACACTTAATGATAGCACAAGATCTCAACTGAGGATACATAACTGTTCAAAACGTAGGATCCTATATACTGTAGTAAAGAGAAAAAAAAATATAGCAGATTAAACTCTGCCCTACTTATCCTTCAATGCATCTCAACATGTTATAGGACTTTGGAAACTCTGGATTGTAGCTATCTAAATGTTGCTCATGTTTAATGCATTCTGTACTTCTAGGCTTCATCAGAAATATTTCTTACCTTCAGGGGATTTTGAGGTGTAAATGGCAAGGCGCTTGGATGAAAGAATCCTTGGGCTGCAGCATAATATGAAGGCATAACCTGTAAATAGGTACCATAATCACCATAAACTCCTCCACTGGGTTCCTACAGAACAAAACAGAAAAAGAAAAATGTGTGTTAGAAAGCTGATAACCAATTATGAAATCAAATTGCAAGAAATTAATAACAAATTTTTCAGAAAGATTGGTATATCTCCGGCATAATACTTAGAGAATGGAGTAGAGGAGTTTTAGTCTTGAGTTTCTCTTGCTTCTAAAGTTCACTAGTTAACTTGCTACATCGCTACAACCTAATTTGCAATAGCACTGCTGTAAAGATAAAGTAGCTACATATAGTAGGCACTGCCTTAAATTCCCACTAGACAACGTATCATCCTTGTCTTTGTTGGCCTTCTTCTTTCCATATATACTGTAGGCATGTGCCATTTCCTCTCCCCTCATGACAGGAAGGGATAGTTCTGGTGAAGCCTCCTCCGCTTCCTTAGCTGACCTATGGAACTGTCTGCTACTTTGCTGGGGAAGGGGTAACAAAGGGAGCTGTGAACTCCAAGGAAACCTGCACCCCTGCTCCACATTCCTTCTCTCTCCGGGGAGGAACAGGGTTCACCTTTTGCCAGCACAATCCAGCCAGCCCTACCTCACCAGCAGCCATCTCAGTCATTCCCTCATCCTTCCTCTTTCCACATATAATGTAGATTTGTGTCATTTCCCCTCCCCTCAGGAGAGTCCTCCTCCTCCTCCTCCTCCACCAAAGCACGGAACTACCTACATTTTGCTGGAGAGAGGTGGGAAAAGGCAGCTATGGGCCATGAGGAAAACTGCACCCGTTCACTCTATTCTGTCCCCCAAAGGCAACTTCATTCCAGGGAAGAATAGGACTCATCTGTCAACCACCAGCATCCCTTAGTCAACTCTATTTTGCCCGTAGGAATCTGAATTACTCCCTTGTTCTTCCTCACTAACCATTCAGAGATTTCAAAGTTCCAAAGCAGTCTTGCTGCCAGCTGATTGGGTACAAGGGCCAGAGGAAGGCAGGGATGTGAGCAGATATAATTTTTTCCCATCTTCCTTTGCGCCATGGAACCTATGGGTTTCTGGGAAGTGTACTCAGAAATCGGCTGCAAATTTCAGTCCCGGGGGGGGGTCAAGCATCCAGGATTTTGAATGCATTCTGCAAGTTAGCCTGAGGTACTTTGATTTAAAAAAATGTTTGTTTCTCAAGCATGCACTGTTTCACCCAAATGAAGGGGTATAAAGTATCAAACATGAGAGTTTTAGTGGTATATAGCTAGGAAAAGCACAATACAAAAATAAAGTCTAGGTGACAGAAATATACTGTATATAATCTCAAAAAGCAAAGCTTTTCCAGGAATCTGTCGCAACAAGTTTCACTAAAAATCTATTCATTCTTAATTATACCCCGACTTTGGAATGTCAACTCACTTGTAAGAGATTAAATCTGAGTTTCTAGAAGCTGCAAGTCATGCAAAATTGGCAGATAAGCTACTAACTGGTGCCTGATATCTGATCCCTGATCCACATGGTGAAAGTAGAATAAGCTCAAACTCTGGACAAATCATCCTATCCCTATAGTAAAAGACATTCCCCGGAGATTCTACTGCTACTCTCTACACCAGAGATCCCCAACCTTTTGGGCACCAGGATTCCATGGAGAAAGATTTTTACATGGACCGGAGAGAGCATGGTTTTGTGTGCTGCCTGCATCCCATGGATGGGGCTTTACTTGTTTGTGTGGACCGGTTGTTGGCATGCCACGGCCCGGTACCAATCCACGGACCCGGGGGTTAGGGACCCCTGTTCTAATAATCCCTTACAACAGTGGTTCTCAACCTTTTTAATGCCACGACCCCCAACCAGTCATAAGTCAAGGACTACTCAACCGGTTGTAAGTCGAGGACTACTCAACTGGTGCAGCACCGTTTGCAGAATGGGAGTTTTGGCAGGCCCAGCAGGGCAGAGACAGCCTGGACAATTCCTATTGGCTTTTGAAAGCCAATAGAATTAGACTCTATTCAAGAGAGTCTATTCTATTGGCTTTCAAAAGCCAATAGAATAAAAGGAAAGGAAAAGGGGGGGGGGGAAATGGCAGCCTGCATTGTTTGGCGATCCCCATGAAATGGTCGTTTGATCCCAAATGGGGTCCCAACGCACAGGTTGAGAACCACTGCCTTACAAGAAGATGGGAAATGTTGCCCAGAGCAGAGCTGCTGCTCTCCTAGGACAAAAACAGATTTAATTCCTTGATTCTTTGGGTAGGGTTTGGGAAGGCTCCGTCAAACTCTGAAGAGTAGTTACCATAGACAATATAGAGCTAAATGGACAATGTAATGTAAGGCTGTTTTCTAATACATCATGTGAAAAATTCAGTGAAGTATGAAAAACGATTGCCAGAAAGACCCAACAGAGCACATATACAAGAAAATGAAAACACAGGTTTGCAACTTGAAGTGTTATTTATGCATAAATTATAATAGTACACAGCCTTTCTTCCCACCTCACACTCTGGGAAAAAACTGCTCTGAATTAAATTTCTTTCCAGACTACAGCCAAAATTATAAAGTTTGCAGAACAATGCATCGGCACTTTTTACTCATGCCTCCCCACCAACTTCCAAAGCCAATTCTGAACAATTTCTTTTTTTATTATTTTTTTATTGAAAGTTTATAAAATTTTAAAATAAAATACTCCCCCCTCCCAACCCCCCAACCCCCTCCCCCCTACTTCCCAGAACTAAATACAGTGTTAAAAACAACGAAAAACATAGAATTTAAGTGAATATCAAACAATTATACATACATCCCAAAAACAAAATTTTAAACACTTTAACTCCGGTACATAAAAACAGAAATTAAATTCTGAACAATGTCTTGTCACCCAAAGAGAAGCAGGTTGGAAATGAGGCAAGGGACATGGATCTGCTAGACTTCTATGGGTGTCCACTCCTACAGAATACTTGGTCCAGGTGAATTTGGTTGTAATAGGAAGAAAAAAAAAATAACAATGGGCTGCTTCTTTGAGCATATATAAAATCAGAAAATGAAAATAACAAAACCATATCTAATTTTTAAAAGAAAGATACTACAATTGAAAAGCAGGATATATACCCAGCAAATAAACAAATGAAACAAACTTACATCTGAGCCACTGTTTTCTAAGTCTCCTACTTTAGTTTGAATGCTATGGTACGCCTGAGCATACTGCTGATACCACTGCTGGACTGAATCCTACAAAAGGCAAAAGCATTTTTTATTTTTATTTTTTCACAATTATTATTTTGCCAATTGTATGCCACCAAAAGAGTACACGTTTTTGCAAACCAGTTACCCCAATTCAGTCTTGTCTCATTTAAAGCAAAAAACGCAATATTTAGATTACATTTCATCTAAATCGGGGGTAGTCAACCTTGGCTCTTTTATGGCTCGTGGACTTCAACTCCCAGACATGGCTCAGGAATTCTGGGAGTTGAAGACCACGAGTCATAAAAGAGCCAAGGTTGACTACCCCTGATCTAAATCAATACATAATCAAACTGTAGCCACAAATTCTTTTTTGCCAAATGATATCAAACTTCCAATATAACTTGCAAGACTGCCAGGTTATTTTTATAAGTAGCTGTATGCAGGCCATTCTCTAGGCAGGGCTTTGCTAACTAGACGCAGTGTTTCTCAACCTTGACAATTTTAAGGCATGTGGACTTCAACTCCCAGAATTCCACAGCCAGCAATGCTGGCTGTGGAATTCTGGGAATTGAAGTCCACATGCCTTAAAATTGTCAAGGTTAAGAAACACTGAACTAGAGAGTACTAGCTTCAATTTACAGTACAGTATAGTGGTTAAGGTTAGAAGTTGGGGGACCATGCTTTCTAGTCCTGCCTTGGTGTATTTGGGCCAATCTCTATCTCTCAACCCTAGGAAGGAGACAATGGCAAACCATTTCTGAAAAATCTTGCCAAGAAAACTTCAGGGATTTGTCCAGGAGGTCTCCGAGAACCAGACCGTATTGAATGGAAAAAACAAACAACTCTTCCACTAAGGAAGAGTTTGCTTGATCTGTTTTTATGGTTAATGTTATGCCTTTTTTTAAAAATCCTGTATTAAAATTGGCCTATTTGATTAATGATACCAAGATTTCCCTAAGCAGCATGTTATGAGTTGCTTTATACAATCAGCAATTTGTGCTTTTTTTTATATAACAATGCCACATAATACAAATACCTGTTGTGTGTTTGAGAAGTAGTTTGGGAATATTGGATATTTCATAGGTCAGTGATGGCGAACCTTTTAGAGACCAAGTGCCCAAACTGCAACCCAAAACCCACTTATGTATCGTCGGGTGCCGGGTGGGCGTGGCTCATTGGGTGGGTGTGGCCAATTGGGTGGGCGTGGGTGCAGTGGTAGCGGCAGACTGGTGGGACTAAAAAGTTCAATCAATCAATTCCAACTTTGCAAGATCTTTCTTTTTCCCACGAGAGGTTGAAATTGATTGATAGATTGAACTTTTTTTTTTTTTTTTTTGCATACGGCAGCGGAGGCCTAAATCAAAAAGGTTTTATAAAACCCAGCTGAAGGCCTGGGACTGGGGCGACGGTGCATGTGCCCACAGAGAGGGCTCTGTGTGCCAACTGTGGCATGCGTGCCATAGGTTCGCCACTACAGTCATAGGTCAAAGGAGAAGGCATCCCAACAGATTTAAAATATCCAGATTCATTGGCCTAGATTAAATAAGAGTGAGCCTTCCTTGGGTTTCTCTTGGGATTAAAAGAAGATAATTTCAAATATCATCCAGCCAAATCAGCTCCTTTTACCAAGGCTGTTCGTGGTTTTTATGCACGCCACAGATATATTATACAGCAGTGACAGAAAATTCTCGTGGAAGCAATGATGGTTATAGCTCTGGAGCTGATTCCAAGGCTGCTAACAGTTGCGACATACCACTTGAAGAGCATCTGCCTCGCTATGCTTCTAAATCATACAGTCATTTCTTATAGGTGTTGGCAATGGGATTCCGAATTTGTATAAGTTACCTGCACACTTTGTTTCTTCTTCTATACAACCTACAGAGAGGTGCTATTAAATTAACAGCTAACAGCTCTTGACGGCTAAAAGAAACAGGCACACTATACCAAGTATGATCTCTAATTTGCAGGTCATTTAATTTCTTATTCGCATGAATTCACTCTCAGAACTCTTTTGAATATTAGTACCATATGGTTACAGTATGTTTTTTTTCCAGGACAACAATATCACACACTATTTACTTGTATTCTAGTTCTTAGCGCTGGAAATCTGACTTTTTCTGCAAATCTTGCTGATTGATGTTTCTCAATTATCATCAGTCTGAAGAACTAATGCTTTCATAAGAAGAATTCATTGTCACCAGCTGCAGTGACATTATATATCTCTCACATACCTGTGTATAATCACTGTATTGTCGTGAGTAGTTAAAAGAGTTTTCCAGTGCATGCTGTGGTGTGTTTCCCTGAGCATTTACACTGTTGGTTGAGTTACTTGCAACTACAGATTGTGACTTAGTATTATTAGCTTTGTTGGGGACTGCTCCTAAAGGAAGAAATTATAATGTATTACTAATTATAACAAGGTATAAGTAGTTTTAAACACATTTGCTTCCCCCCAAAGGCCTTTATAGGTACACAGTACAATATTACATAAATTCGTAACAAAACAAAGGCATAGAGCTATTCTTTTTAAAACAAAATAAAAAAGGCACTAATAAGCATACAGTGATACTCAGTACTTGACTGCTTCAAAACTCGTTGAATTTGGTATTTGATGCATTTTTAAGCAAAAAATGTTGTCCTTGTTTGTTTGGTACTCGATATGCTACGATTAAAAAAGGGGACAGACAGGAAGTCAGCCATGGTGGGAAGGTCACTGCAAAAGAGGGTGACAGTGCAAGAGAGGGAGGATAGGAAGTCGGCCCTGCTGGGAAGGTCACTGACATAGGAATAGGGACAGGAAGTCCTTCCCAGCTGAAACAAAAGGTCACGTGGTAAATCACGTCGTTTGTTTGGCACTCGTCTTTTTTAGTACTCGTTGCACCTCCTGGAACCAATTAACAATGAGTATCAAGGTACCACTGTAATCTAAAGGACTTAATCTCAGCTACACTCTCTCAACCCTATTCTGGGAATTGTACAACAAATTATCTACCAACCAACACTGGACACGTATAGTAGATTATGGTCCATACTCTTCAATAATGAGACCATCCTGCAGTGGATTGTATGATAATCAGCAGCAACAGCGGATCCTTTTATTGTAAACTCTTCTTAAAGGCAAGTTCCAGATTTAAATTATACCAAACAATATAATCGTATTATCTGCAAGTATTATAATCTCTTTGACCCCTCCCTGCTTACCTGAAAGACACACAGAAGGCAGAACACTTGCCAAGTTCAAGTAGGGATTTGTGCTGAGGTGTATTTCCTTAGGAGGTTCTCCAAGTAGAGAGGTTTGATTTTTGGAACAACTCTACAAAACAGATATATTTCATCACATAACTACAGCTGAAGTACAAAGTGATTTTCCATTAGAAAACCTCTCACGTAGCTAACTAGAAGTATCATTACAACCTGCCTCCAGAAGCAGTGAATGCTCCAACACTGGAAGTTTTTAAGAAGAGACTGGATAGCTATTTGTCCGAAATGGTATAGGGTTTCCTGCCTGAGCAGAGGGTTGGACTAGATGACCTCCAAGGTCCCTTCCAACTTTATTATTATTATTATTATCTCTTTTTATTTATCTATAAATTTATCCATTCTTTTTAAAGGATAACACAATAATTACCACTTTAGACACACACACAAAAAAACTTATCTGTGCTATAAAGTCATTATATGTTCAAGCTCTTGCTTATATACCTGAGATAGAAATAAAAGACAAACAAAAGTAAAGCATATATAGAAAAAACATGACACTGTTTTGGCTATTCTCACATATAATATAAAAGCCTATACGATTTTTGTGATTTTTCCCCCCTGAGTCTTCTATTCTGCTTTTTTAATGTGGCATGACATAACCTTAGTGCCATATCAAATTTGTGTTATCTCCCTCTTCCTGTATATAGAGACATTACTTTAAAAGCTTGGAAGCCAGAAGGCCAAACTCTCTGTCTAAGCTGAATTGTTGGTATGCAACAATCAACTAATGTCTCTTTCTTTTAGACAACAAAAATGTAGCACCCTTTTTTATTCTACTGAACAGGAGGCAGAATATTTTCAACTGAAGGAAACTAGTCTAGGAGCCAATACAGAATATAATCTTTCCTTCTTAAAGGCAGAATGAATGACTAAATAATCATCTTTACTTAAAGCAACCTTTAAACCAGACTGGTAAAACCAGATTAGCCAGTTAACCTAAAGGCTTGGAGACAGATCTTTATCTGCCAAACTACTAAAAGGAAAACAGGCAAGTATATTAACTATTCTCTTTTCTGAGCCATATCAAAACAATGTCTCTATGTACAGGAAGAGGGAAATAACACAAATTTGCTATGGCATTAAGGTTATGTTATGCCACGTAAAAAAGCAGAATAGTAAAGAGGAAATGGAAGCTGCCTGAAATAGAATGAAAAAGTTTACATTACAAACATTGTGCAAAGTTATGATAATGGAAGCATTATCAGTAAAGGAAGATAGGAAAAATGGATATAAGAGAATAAATGCTGCTGTTGCAGAAAAAAAATGAAGAAATGCTGTAAAATAGAGGTGTGTACAAAACAAACACATCGTGGCATGGAAGTCTGAACAAGTCATTCTGGATGAACTGAGGTTCAGCTGAACCCAAAACTGACCTTTTAAAAGATACTGGCAGCAGCACGTATGTTATAAAGAATGAGTGTTTATTGAAAGAAGCAACAATGTTTGACTAGACCTCCTGCTTTATTACAGCATGTATGTAGGTATGGGTGTGTATATGCCATCTTTTATCTGTCCTTTTTATGTTTTATTGATTTGATTGAAATTTCTTTGTTTGATTGTCACCCAGAGCCATTGAGATCTGGCAGCATACAAGTTTAATCAATTATTATCTGTTCACAACATGGAGTCACAGCTGCTAGTCTTTTAATTGGTGTGGCTCTTTATTTGCATCAAGTTCTTCCCAATAATAATTTAATAATAAATTATGTGTGGGTAATCCACAGTTAGATTTACAGTATAAGACTGGTTAAAACTTAACAATTCAAGTCTTAATCAAGGCCTAAGAATGATCAAGGTAGCATCTAATAATATAGGCAGTTCCAAGCAGGGTTAGGTTAGGTTTTGTTTTTGTTTTTTGTAAAATTAGGGTGTTCCGGTCCGATAAATTCAGTATTTCCAGATATTGAATAAGTCTATGGTTCATCGCACTGTCAGATGTTTAGATTGGAATTGGCATTTTTATCCACCTGTTGTGTCCATTGCAGGATAGGGAGATGTTGCTAGATGGCGTTAAAGTTATCTGTGCAGGATATAAGCTGTTCCAAGTAAAGCTGCTTTTTGCAATTGACTGATGGTGATTCTATCAATGCTGATGCTGTTCAAGTGGTGCTCCAGATGTTTTGGGGATTGTACCCAAGGCACCTGTTCCTATTGGTACTAACCTAAAAGATTTCATATTTGCCTGTAGATTGCTGTGTTTCAGAACATGCCCCAAAGTGTTAATTAATTCCACATTAGTATCAAACATTATGTGAACAGGAAAAAAATTAGTTTCGGAAGGAAGAGGGGATTGCACACTTACTTATCTATTCAGAATAGATTCCTTCCTGTCAGGTTGAGCAGATTGTACCTAGGAACTGGACAATTTGATGTATGAAATGAGATAGATTGTGGATATATGGGCTTTAAAAGGACAGAAACTGCAATTGAAAATATTAATTTGGAGGTAGGATCCACTCAGCTCAATGGGACAAGCTCAAAATGCCTATTGTTACACTGTTCATAGAAAACTGTCTAGATGAATGTAATAAATATTCGTGTATAATAGTGGAGAATATAAGAGAGAGAAGGAAAAAAGGAATAAAAGTCTATTAGTATGAAACAAAAGAAAAACCACATTTTTAAAAAGTTTGTATTTTTGAATGAATATTCCCTGAATTGATGAAAACTGTGAGTTTTTTTCCTCAGAAAATGTTTCTTGAAAATTTATCCAGAATGAAAAGTTTCACAGGTCTGTTTGCTATTTTGTCAGTGAAATATTGATATATTATTCAGCAGTTGCCTTACAAATCTCATACATGCAAATTATGTATATAATTTAAAAAATGATAAACCATGATTTAAAATATATTTCCAAGCCCTAAATTCTTGGGGATTGTACCAGCATAAAGATAAATGCAAAGAAATCTCTAAGCTTATAAGGATAATCTTAAATCAATCCTACCATAAGTAAAACTGTTCAGGTTTCAAATTTTGGTTAAGAAGAAACTCTGCTGTAGAACAACTACAGTAAACTTGGTGGCATTAGGTACCATGCTAGGTCATGTTTTATTTCACTAAGGTAGATTGAGTAAACCTTAACTGACTTTTTTCAATTGCATCTAAGACTTATGGCTTGCAAACCATAATCACCTTATGGCTTAATGTGATAGGCAAATTTCATCTTCCTGATATTTAACACAAATAGAGCAATTAATTGCAAAAGATAGGAAACACTTTTCCTTATGTTTCTACATTTTAATAAAAGCCATTAGTCTTTCACTGTAATTTAGAATTAATAATCTGTTTGAAAATGCTTTTTGCAATTAAGATTGAAACGCTGATAAAACAATTGTAAAACTTCTTGCTGGCTGCAACACTAATGAATGTAAGTGCAAGAGCGAAAAAAAGAAAAAAAAGCTGAACTCCATTTCCTTACACCAATGCTTGAATCAGCATTCTTTGGCTGGTTCTGCTGGCTGAGGTGTCCTCCCTGTAGACCTCCTGCAGCAACATTTGTTAAGCTCTGTAGATATGTTTCAGACGTGGAGCCGGTGCCCTCTGTCAGTTCCAGTGAAGATAGCAACTTCTCTTGGGTGTTATTTTGCCTTGGCACTGCTTGCCCAGTTACATGCTGGTTTGGGAAGAATGGCAGTAAGCCAATCCCTGCTGCCGTCGCCATTGGAGCTGTACTCTGATGAGATACTGTAGAATCAGCCATAAATAGAAAAAACTGTTATAGAACAGAACACTGGATTTTTATTACATGAAAAGCGCTAAGGTTCACGTTGATATTTGCAACAAATTATTGAACAGTACTTACTTACTGAATACTGTGCAAGCCTATTGAAGAATACATATATACACCATACTGTTCACATTTTATACACTAATTTTTGAAGAAAATTCTGCTTATGATTTGCCCTAAGAATGAAATTCTGCATGACAGCAGTCATCCTATTTTTCTGTGTCCAAAATGGCAAATGCTGGTCTCTTTGAGATGTACAATAATATTTAATTTGATCACTAATTAATAATTGACATTCATATACCATTTGTTTCTTGAAATACTGTTAATGATAATTGTATTTTAAAGAATACTGCACTAGTGGTAAACGTCTATTATCTCTGAAGGGAAAAATATAAAATAAAAAGGTTTTAAATATAAAATTTCTGTAGCAGGTTGCAACACTAAGGGACATCTTATCTGAGAGAAAGTCTACTAAACATACTGCAACTTTTAAATAAATATGAATAAGAGTGCACACAATATAATTTTATTTTTATTTTTTGTATTTATGTTTTAATAGTTTAAAATATTTTTATGATTGTTTGCCACCCACTGGTTTGAGATGAATAAATGAAATTGAATAAATGAATAAATGTGTAAAGTATAAAGTTAGAGCCCCTATTTCTGCCACTGGGCAAAAAAAAAAATAACTCATATATCTCGCTATTAAATTAAGATATTTAATATTGAATTGTGTCCCTAAAATTGTGTTCCTAAAATTATCACATGACCATTGAGTGTTGTGACAGTTGTAAATATGAGTATTTTTTTATAATGTTGTAACTTTAAATGGTTGCTAAATGAGGCTGTCAGTAAGCAAGGACCACCTATATTTTCAAGGTGAATTTCTATTATTAAAAAGGAAACAAAATGTCACTTGCATGGTTCTCCTTGACTCCCTATGTCTGTGGCCGTTTGTGGTAAAGGCCCCATTCCTAACATTGTTTGAAGCAACATAGTTGGCGGCTCTCCAAGCAAACTTGGTTTCTACAAAGAAAAAAGATTATAGATTACTTTTTAAAAATGCATTTGATTAAAATTGTTCCAAAGATTTCCAATGCATATGCTCTGTTTTACCATCTTAGCTGATAACAGAAGAGAAAGAAAAAAGAAATACTACTGCTGCTACTACTAATGTTGGCAACAAAAATATGAATTAGAAGATATTTCCATTCTTCATTTTATCCAGGAGTCTGGCCTACATTATAAGTACAGGCCTATTTTAACTCACACTATTAGGTTGCATGTTCTCAATCTTTGATAGTGGTGCCATATGTAGAGGTGATAAATTTTGTAGCAGCAAATTTGATGCATTTCCAAAAACAGGACCCTGTAAGATTGAAAGGAATAGAACTATGTAAGAGTTATATACATATGGAACAAATATTATTCCAAACAAGAAAAAGAGATAAAGATAAATTTATTTCATATATCTTTCACCAACTATATGAGCCAATCTTCAAAATTCAGAATTCCTTTCAACATTAAAGATGTATCACATATTTGTGAAATGACAACACTGCATATCGCTTTGGGACAGCTACTAAATTTTGCTACTGACAACTAGTACACATACCCTATTTTACATTTCACTCTTAGAAAAGATGGTAAAAGATAGGACTCATGGTGGTGCAGTGGTTAGAATGCAGTACTGCAGGTCACTTTAGCTGACTGTGTTCAGCAGGTCAGCAGTTCAAATCTCACCGGCTCAAGGTTGACTCAGCCTTCCATCCTTCCGGGGTAGGTAAAATGAGGACCCAGATTGTTGGGGGCAATGTAAATATATATATATACATTGCTTACTGGTGTACACCGCTTAGAGAGTGCTTGCACTTAAAGCGGTATATAAGTCTCATAAATAAATAAATAAATAAATTATTGCAGGCTAATTCTGTTGACTGCCAGCAGTTCAGTTCTCACTGGCTCAAGGTTGACTCAGCCTTCCATCTTTCCGAGGTCGGTAAAATGAGGACCTAGATTATTGGGAGCAATATGCTGACTCTGTAAACCGCTCAGAGAGGGCTGTGAAGTGGTATATAAGTCTAAGCGCGATTACTACTGCTAAAATGTGTAACCTCTAAGTGAAGATTAATAAAAAATGTAAACATGTTCCTCTTAATGGAAACAATGGGTTTTTTTTTTTTTAGTTTTTCACTATGGATTTGATCTTGGCTATTTTCCAATATTAGGAAGAAGTAATATCATATATATTAAGTAATATTAATATTAATTATTATAATTATAACTATAACTATAACTATCATTAATATTGATTAATATGAATATTAATTATTTAATATTAATGCCTTCCTATTTCAAAGGATGGATATAAATGTAAATAATTAAAAATTTAAACTAGTTGTTTTTCAACAAGCGGCAGAAATCGACTGACCTTGTCCAGGATAAGAAGTTAAATAGGATTAGTGCTGGTTTTTATTTAGATGTGAGACTACCAATAAATACTGGGTCTGTAAGCTAGACTGATCATTTGAAAAAATAAACCATGCAAACCACTTTTGATTTACAGGTAGTCCTCAACTTACAACCACTCATTTAGTGACCATTCAAAGTTACAATGGACTGAAAAAAGTGACTTACGACCGTTTTTCATACTTATGACCGTTGCAGCATCCCCGTGATCACGTGATCACATGATCCTGCATGTATTTATGACAGCTGTATTGTCCTGGGGTCATGAGATCACCATTTGCAACCTTCCCAGCAAGCAAAGACAATAGGAGAAAGCAGATTCACTTAACAATTGCGTAATTCACCCAACACCTGCACTGATTTGCATAACAACTGTGGCAAAAAAAGTCAAAAGATGGGGCACAACTCGCTTAACAACGGCCTTGCTTCACAATGGAAATTTTGGGCTCAACTGTGGTCGTAAGTCAAGGTCTACCTGTATTGCTAGGAAAACAACGTGGGCATAATAATTTGAGGGGAACTACTTTTTAAGTTAGCTACGCTTGCTATTCCCAAATGTATGCCATCGAACAAACAAAAGATTCAATCCATTGTTTAAAATAACCAGAGAAATCCCTGTTTTATAAGTTTAAACCAGCACAACTTCTTATATGTCAGAGACAGCAACTTCCAACTAGGTGTCTCCTAGTAGCTTTCAAATCCATAGAAAAGAACACAAAGCTTTTTGTCCTGCCAGAAAAGCTTGTGTTCTTTTCTATGGATTTGAGGTTTGAAGAGTTTGATTACATGGGAAGCATTTCATTTCCCAGAGTCCTTTGAATCCCATTCTCCCCCCCCCTCGCCTTTTTTTTTAAAGTTTTTAATCCCCAAAAGATGGTGCTAGAACAGTGGTTCTCAACCTGTGGGTCGGAACCCCATTTGGGATCGAACGACCATTTCACGAGGGTCGCCAAACAATGCAGTCCGCCTTTTTTTCCCCCTTTTCCTTAGCTGTGCTACTCCCTTTTATTCTATTGGCTTTTGAAAGCCAATAGAATAGACTCTCTTGAATAGAGTCTAATTCTATTGGCTTTCAAAAGCCAATAGGAATTGTCCAGGCTGTCTCTGCCCTGCTGAGCCCGCCAAAAGTCCCATTCTGCAAACAGTGCAGCACCAGTTGAGTAGTCCTCAACTTACGACCGGTTGAGTAGTCCTTGACTTAGGACCAGTTGGGGGCCGTGGCATTAAAAAGGTTGAGAACCACTGTGCTAGACAAAAACTACTTTGCTGCCAAAATTCAGCAAGACAAACATTGGGGTAGCACTCTATGGGTAGCTCTCTTCGAGATTAAGGAAAGATATCCTCTACCTTATTAGGTAAATACATTATGTACTACGTCACTATATAATCTTGAAAATAAGATTATTTATCTATTTGTTTATTTTTATTTATTTGTATCCCACCTTTATTATTTTTTTACAAATAACTCAAGGCAGCAAACATATCCAACACACTTTTTTTTCTCCTATTTTCCCCAGAACAACAACAACCTTGTGAGGTGGGTTGGGCTGAGAGTGAGAGTGACTGGCCCAAAGTCACTCAGCTGCTTTCATGGCTAAGGCAGAACTAGAACTCACACTCTCCCAGAGTCTAGCCTGGCACCTTAATCACTAGACCAGGGGTAGGCAACCTTGGCTCTTTTATGATTCGTGGACTTCAACTGGCTCAGGAATTCTGGGAGTTGAAGTCCACAAGTCATAAAACAGCCAAGGTTGCCTACCCTTGCACTAGACCAAACTACCTCTAATTATTTAATACTCTATTAAGAAAATAGATTTTATCATCTAAATCATCTAGATTAATACTCTATTAAGAAAATAGATTTTATCATCTAGATCAGTGTTTCCCAAACTTGACAATTTTAAGGCATGTGGACTTCAACTCCCAGAATTCCACAGCCAGCTGGCTGTGGAATTCTGGGAGTTGAAGTCCACATGCCTTAAAATTGTCAAGTTTGGGAAACACTGATCTAGATCAACTATTTTGATTTTCAAAATATTGATTTTTTCCCCTCTTTGTCTACTCTTTTTAAAAAAAATAAGAGTCAAATAGAGAGTCTGTTGTCTGGGATTGATAAGGAATTTGATTCCGACACCATCTGAAAGGGCAGCAGGTGTCCCATGCATGGTTGAAACATACTTTTAAATAAAGTAACACTATGGCAAAGCACTTATCTGGACAATTATGGGCAATCTGAGGAACACGTTTCTCAGTGATTAAGTATAAAAATAAAATCTTTCTCTGAAGGTATCACAAGAGTGCTATGAACATAATATAGCCAATGACCTAATAACTAACTTCATGTTTTTAAATCTCTTTAACACCAGAAACCTTCTTTTCTACTGCAAAACAATTTTTTTTTAAAAAAAAAGGTTATTTGTGGTATAAGGCATGTCAAATGCAAATAAGGTGCTGAAATAATAACCTTAGCAGTATGATTTCTGCTATATACAGTGTTATTTTTTACTTTAGCCTAGAAAGAGCACAAATATAATACAGAAATAAATCAATAATTCAGTTTAGTTTATAACAGCGTCTCATGTGTTTCTTGTATTTGTTAGTTTAATAAGGAAATCAAGATCATGTTCTGTCTCTTTGCTCTCTGGGCAGCAAATTCTAGAAACTAAAATTCAGAATACATAAACCAGATGTTTCAATCAAGATAAATACAGTCAAGATAAATACTGTAATAATTTAGCATTTCATACCGGAGCATTTAATTATCACCTATTGCTATTATTATGATAATACACTAAAATTCTAACTCTTATCACACATTTGCTTCACCAATATATGTTATCTATAAACATACCTGATGAATTTTATTCAAATGCAAAAAGGCTGGACCGATTGATGGATTTGCAAGGTGAGACACATTCATGGGAGCACCTAGGACTATTTTAGAAAAAAATATATAACCAGATTTATCATTAATTTACTTATAATACCTATGTTAAGATAATGTATGAATAGCTAAACATTATTTTAAAGGACTTATCTTTTGCAATAATTCCGTATAATCAGACAGGCAAATAAATAACTGAGCTTTAGCAGAGTTGCTTGAGTCTGTTTTTATCTAAGATGGCAGACTGGCAGACACTATAAACTAGACATGTCAAACTCGCAATGTCACGTGACGTCGTGAGACGTATCAGGACTGTTTTGCCATTGCCGGCAATCGAATGGGCGCAACTTCCGGATGACACGTCCGGCCCACGGGCTGGCAGTTTGACACCCCTGCTACAAACCATCCTCACTGTTTCTACAGCAGTGCAAAATTGATGGACACAATAATGTTGAAATAATGTAGAAGGTTTTATAGGGAACTTTGGTACAATTTAGGTTTGGCTTTTGCCAGGAAGATAACGTGTAACTTTTTCCTATATTCCCAAATGTTCAAGGATTTACATATTAAAAACTGGAGAGATGGATATAATTATGTACTATTTATTGCTGCTCTCCCTCCCCAAAGAAGCAAAAAAGCTTTTTTTGAAACTGAAACAAAAAAGTGAATTCTGCAAGCTTTGCTCATATTTACAGCTTCAGCAACATATGTGATAATTTATCTTCTGTACCGATATAGCTAATTCCTAAGGCCCAAATGATAGCTTCATTTTTAATTTTCAAACTTTGTAAAAGTGTATTATTTCCATATAGTTTCTTATTCCAATATAGGAATAACTCAGAACTTCACACAGTTTTGGAAGAAGCTTTAGTAAGGTGCCTATGAGACAAAGGATGTTCACTCCTTCTTTAGGACAAAAAAAAAACAGGGTTCCAGTCTGCTTATATTTCATCTGAAGTCCCCTGTAAATCCTTCAATATCATCTGAGATGAGTTCAGATTTTCCACACTCAGTCAGTGGGAATGCACTCTGAAACATCAAGTTATTTGAGATCAATAGTAAAAATATACATTTTTAAAAAATGGAAAAAGAGAAAAGATGTGTGATTGCTCTGGTTTCTTCCCCTCCAAAGCTGTTTATTTTATGAAATTAATGTACAATGGGAATTCTAAATTATTTCAGAGTATATATATCAAAACTTACCGTATCCATGCATCTGATGCCGTAACAACATCTGCAACATGGCTGGAGTATTTAAGCTTTTCATGATTTGCACAGCATTTGGTTCTGGAAGTAACCCTTTTCGATTGTTTTTCATCTTGAATAAAGGAGAAATGAAAAAGAAACCGAGTTTCACAATAAAAGAAGGATATTAAGATCTATCCATTCATTTGTGCATAAACAGCACAAAATAGCAATGAGAAAATCCAAAATCAGCAGTGGCAAAAAATCTTAGGATAGATGAAGGCTTTATAGAATCATGGAAAGCTTTCAATTTTAACATTTCATTACACAATGGGGTTTTTTTGGGGGGAGAAGTAAGGCTGACATGGCTAATTGCAAAACCATTCTCTGTAATCTTTGCAAAGTCCTGGAGAAAGGCAAAATCCCAGAAGACTCCTTATTTTCAGAAAAGGGAAGAAACAGAACCTGGATCTGGGAGCTTAACATTGGTATTTATTAACAGGAGTCTTGCAAGACTAAGTTGATCTCCTCAGATCGGTTGATCATGGAAATCCAATATATCTTTAAGAGCATTAAGAAAAGCAAAGAATCCAGATTGCAGGAAGTAATTTTCTTGCTTTACTCTGCCTTAATCACTCCACCAAATTGGATCTCATATTTATTTATTTTTATTAAATTTATACGCCACCCATCTCGCTATTCAAAGTCATTCTGGGTAGCATAAAAATTTAATAAATAAATAAAATCATACGGACAAAGTATAATGATAACTGCAGCTAAACCCAGACCAAAAAGGCAAATGTTGTCAGGATACAGATAGGAACACATTGCCTTACGCTCAGTTTGCAAGAGCAATTCATAGATCTGTCTCAGAAGAAACTGATAAAAGAAAATAGTGTTGTGCATACACAGAGCAAATTTTACATTCCTAGAGACCATCAAACAGAGAAAAGTCACAAATCCACATGGAAACAAAACCTGAATCACGGAGCCATTAACTTTGGGCTACACATAAATGTGGTAATATTCATATGTAATTAATATAGTAAATGTTCTGTGTCTGCTTTTGCAGTACAAACATTTTTACCATTCGTTGTGCTGCTATAAGTGTAGCAAGAGTGCTGAGGCCCGGAACTCCAGGAGCACAATAAGACACGTGGACTCTTTTTTCGTTGATAGTCAAACCATCTGTGCTTTGCTGCACTTCCTCTGTTTGTTCTGCTGTCTCATACTCAATTACTGCAAAGCCACCAACAGAGCTGTCTTCATCCTGAGCAAGCTGAAAGGACATTTCACAACACAATGAAAAGAAGTCTGTCCTGTTTCAGCTGTTCCAAAAACCACTGCATTATTCCAACTGTATAACCTGTATGTCTTGAATGAAATAAAGTAACATGCAGATCATTCCTTAATCCAAAACTTAATATAATATAATAAATATACTAAATTATAAATAAAAACAATAGATACTGCCCATTTCATGAATAACCTGTCCTAATATTTTTTGGGGGGGGGGCAGTTAGGCAGCACTAAGAAACAGAAATTAGGAACAACTTTGTAATGATGAGCGTATATTTCCTTGAAATTTTACTCTTACTATGAAATACATACTACTGACTTTTAAATGTAATTGTATTGACACATTTTCTTATTCAAAAGCATGAAACGCAATTACATTTTACTTGATTAGTTTTAATATCTACATGCATTTTTGTGCAAGGTATAGGTTTTGTTTGTTTCCTTTATAGTGTTACAAGTGAAGTATCTTCCCAACAGTTACCGGAATGTAAATACTCAAATATGTTAGCCTTCAATAGGGAAAATAATTTATCTTGCCAGAGAACAATAAATCTATATAGACAAATGGTCTATATAGACATATGGTGCCTGGATGCATCACTTGGTGATCATGTTAAACTGCAATCTTTTAAAGATCAGCATCATGTGCATCTGCTTTATGAACTTTGAAATGAACACAGATAACCAAGTGGCTTAATATTTATGTTCTCATTTTTTTCTGGGCTTATACACTGTTCCAATTACAAACTACTTTGACCCACATATTTATCTTAGTGAGGCTAAAACAATACCATTAAAACAAAGCCTGTCATTCCATACATACATATTGAGAACACTATACAAATTAATCAATTCAGTCAGCCAAAAAGGAAACCTTCTGCAGCCAGAAGCAGAAAGCTCACAATTTTCAAATCTCCAAGGTCTAATGCAATAACCACATTTTAATGGCCTCTAGGAAAATCAATAGAAAAAAAGGCCATTTCAGTGTCTGGACGGACTCCTCTTCCACAGAAGGTGAGCATCAATTGAGAAAGCTTGTTTCTATGAGTCCCTGGAGGTATCATTCCTTGGGACCGCACTTTATCTGATCTTATCAGACTAGCAGATATTACTGGAGCAAGCAGTCCCATAAATATTCTTGTAGGTTAAGCAGCAGAATCATATAAGCCTATTGGTTACAGACGATGCATAGAAGTGTAAAGAGGAGAACAAGCAAACATATAGCAGGTGCAGTTTTTTGGTGGAAACAAGACAGTAAAAACAAGTTAAATTCTGTGGGGTTATGTGACCAGCTTCTTGGTAATCTACAACTGCACTCCTTCCCCTTGCTGCCCCTCCCCCTCTCAAGTAAAGTCAGCATGTGCTGATAAGACACATACTATTAAGAAAACTAGTATCCTTTTGAACCAGAGAGAAGACACAGAATGCAAGAGCTAGCAGCGGTTCTCAACCTTGGCAACTTTAAGACTTGTGGACTTCAACTCCCAGAATTCCTCAGCCAGCTTTGCTTTGCTGGCTGAGGAATTCTGGGAGTTGAAGTCCACAAGTCTTAAAGTTGCCAAGGTTGAGAACCCCTGATTGTGGATACTCATATTTCTTGTTCTCTCTTAGATATAGGTTTAAGGATAATTTCCCTCCTGGTCAAAGACTAATTTGCAATAATGCTGCAACTGCGCATTCTGTTTTCTGGAGATAAATCTCACTGTATTCTTTCACCTTTTCTCTATGTCTATGTGCAAAAAACCCCATAAGCATATGTGTAGTTAATGAAATCATATTTCATATCTTTCTCAAAGTGAAAAAAGAATAAATAATATCTAGGAAAGTGATTACAAATAATGTCAACATCCTTTTTTTCACCCTTTCTGCAGCTTTCCCCATTTCATATTCACCTTACTACTCCTTGCTGATGCTTTCATTTTTTCCGCGGGAATCGCTACACTTGAAAATAGTTAGAAATTAAGTCTGTCTCTCATCCCTATGTACAGGAAAGAGTGGAAATACCAAAGAAGCAAGGCATGCACATTTATTCTCCCACTTCCCTCTCCCTCCCTATTTCACGTTAAATATGCTCACTCTGGAAGTTCAATTCTGGAACAACCCCACATTCTTGGAAGAAAGTCTGATCAATCTAAGAAAGAACAACAGAAGGCTACCTAAAAGCTCTTTGAGGTTCACTTATAATAAAAAAGCACAACAAAAAAGAATGTGGTGCTCGAGAAATTGCCTATTATTGTCAGACAGCATGTGGACAGCAGACTATACTTTTCCATGTTGTATTGGTTGTTTCCTAAAGTAAACATTTAAGGTTTCCAGTCGTGTCTGATTCTAGGGATACTCATCTTCATTTCTTAGCTGAGATAGCCAGGGTTGACTGAAGACATTTCCGTGGTCATGTGGCCAGCATGACTGTGTGCAAGGCATAAGGAACGCTATTAACTTTCCACTGAAATGGTACCTATTTATCTACTTTGCATGCTTTCAAACTGCTAGGTGGGCAGGAGCTGGGGCAAGTAACAGGAGCTCACCCTGTCGTGTGGTTCTCAGGTCTCGAACTGACCGAGCTGACAAGCTCAGCATCTTTAACCACTGAGCCATCATTTATCCATAAATGTATAAATATGTTTTTTAACATGCATATAGAGTATTGTACTTAATTTTTCCTCATGGAAAATGCAAATCCTCTTTTGGATTTTTTTCTATTCCATTCTGTTTCCAAAGAAAGTTATGAATGGCATTGTTTTTATGTAATTAACTAATAAAAGCAGATATTGTTCAAAAGTGTGCTCCCCCTCCTGTTTCAGTATTTAGCAAGAGAATTAAAACATCCTTAATAAAAAAAAGCCAGAAAAAAGATGAAAAGTGTCAATATTTATATTGATATTGCCAGTCCATAACTGATGTCACAACAATTTACTTGTCCATCACTTTCAAAAGGTCTTAAAGAATCTTCATCTGCTCAACCCCCACAGGAAATATGGAGCTCAGCAGCATTCATTTCATGCCAACCGAGAACTTTTCCCCTTTGATAAACAAGTAGCAGCTGTTCATTCTGTCCTATAAACTCTCTCCAGAACAATATAAAAACATAAATAGGTATAATCCACCGGTGCAAACCTTGTCAACATGGATGAAAGTTCCTAGAAAACAATGCTAGCCACTAGGATCCTTCCAAAATAGACCCACAAGTAAAATATTACTGGGAACAAATGCAAAATACAGTATAGCCTCGGATAATAACCTTCTGCCACAGAACAAAACACTGTGTATAAACAAAATCAGAATAATGTTTAGAAAAATAACAACTGTGAAATAACATAGCCTGCAGCTGAAAGGACAGTTACGATAAGCATCTTTGCAACATGCCAGAAGAAGAGCAAAGACAGCTGGATCACATGAAAGTCTATCTAGTCCAATATTTTGTTCCCACAGTTGCCAAGTAGATGTCTCCGGAAAGAACACAAGCAGAACATGAGAGCAGGAACATCTTTCTACACTTTTCCCCAACAATTGGCACTGAGAGGTATATTGCCTCCATTTCTGGAAGGCAATATGTACACATTAAAACTAGCGACTACCAGTACCTTATCTTCCATGAACATTTCGATCACTAGGCTTTGTAATTGTAAATGTCACTGTTTCAAAAAAGTATCCTAATCAAGATGCACGTCTTCATAATTTATCCTGAGTTTCCTAAGTTTCAATGAAGCATTCAGTTTCTTTGGACGGCACTTGTTTATTCTATGGTATGAATAAGCTCCTTATCCTTTTTTTTCTTCTTCCAAAGTGCACTTAATTTCATGTCATAGCCTAGTCTTAATTTCTTATGCTTAACATTTAGCCCCCTTCTGCATCCTTTTAGGTTTTTGAAGAATAGTTTCTGAGTCATGGTAATGGAACTGTATGTGGTATTCCAAGTGGTTATATAATAAATAGCATTCCCTTTTCTGGTAAATCAAAGCCACGTCACATCCAACCTGTTTATAAATGGGAGTTTGATTTGTTACTTCACCTGTTAACCTTTAATATTGAACTGCAATAAACAGAATAATATCTATATCGCTAATTCAAATTGTTTGTCTCTAACCAGATAATTTATTAACAAAACAAATAGTATTAGGTGCAATAAAAAAATATTCTATTGTAAGAACTGAGAAAAGATCCCATGTCTACATTGGAAACACAACTGGCTATGTGTAGGAATTGCCCTAAATGGACATAAATGATTGGTTTTTCTAATCTAGCATTATCCATCACTCACTTTGGATGGAAAAACTTCCAGCTATGATTTTTAATGGAAATGCATAGTCTGTTACTGTATTTTAAGGGATCAATAATAACTTTTTAGGCAGACGGCACCATTGTACAATTTTGTGCGGTACTGAGTGCCAAGAATACATTTTAAAAATTAAATATTAAAATTTAAAAAAAAGTGCAAGTTTTCCAAATGTAATATTTTGATATAATGAAGAAGCTTTTTTTCCTACTCCATCCCTCAGAACTTTAGATGTTCCTAAATTTATTTTTTTAAAGTTCCTACAGTTTCTGTTGAATAGCCATTTTATATATGTTTAAATATATTATTATTATGTCAATAACATATTAGTTGAGATAGTCATCTATGTAATTCCCAGGGGACTTGTAGATGGCAATCATTGTCAGATCTAATAAATACTGCATAGACCTACAAAAATATATGCCATTAAAGCATAACATCTGTGAAGACAGCTTTTACTTTGAAGACAAAGCATTTTACTTACTTGGTAGAACACAGGTTTATAATTTGCTGAGAAATTTTGCAAGAGATCATCACCAGTATAGTCTATAGGAAGATTTTCCACACAAAGGCACTTTGAATGTATGAGTTCTGGAGTTATCTGATTAGCGTCCATCCACTGTGCAAAAAGAACATTTCCACCCAACGGCTTCCCAAGAAGATCCAACCTAGCCTTGGCTGCAGAATCCTTTTTCATGTATTCCACAAAGCCATAGCCCTTGGAATGGCCTGTGACTTCACTGTACACCAAGAAGTGCCTCTCAACATTCCCATAAGGTCGCACTAGCTCTTCAAACTCTTGCAACGTATAGAAAGGGGGCAAATTGGTAATGCAGAGCAGGGCATCGGTTGGCTGAAGCTGCAGTGATATTTCTTTTCCTCGAAGGGAGTGTTGGTGAAATAGCCGTATTGCACTCTGAGCTTGCTCCCCATTCAGCAGAGTAACAAAAGCTGAAAGACAGCAAATCAGACAAAAACTTTCATATAAACTCTGTGACCGAGTTGGGCAGGTTTTAAGATCATGGGAACTATCAAGCCTTGTGATTTCTAAGACCAAGGTGCTTTGAAACTGATATTAGTTCACAATCCTATCACACACACACAAAAAAAACAACCCCCCCACTCCTCTGCATTCTCCATTTCAGCAATTATCATTTAGGATGGGTAGTGTTATTTTCTTCTGTTTTTTTTTTTTTTTTAACCCTCAACTGTGCTGACACAAACCTTTTGTTTGCTCCTGGACTAAGAAAAGCACAATAATTTCTTACAAATTAGTTGATTAACTTCTGTGATATTCCAAATATAAACGGAAGCGTAACATGTAAATCTGTAATAGTATTTTTTTTCTTAATTTAAAATCAATATTACAAATTCATGATATTAGCCATTTTCTTTCCCTAAAGAGTAGAAAATTGGGTCAGGTGGATCCTCTTCCATTGGATTGTTTTCAGGATTTGCTACTCTTCCCATCATTTCCTGGAACCACCTCGAGATCAAATTCATGCATGGGATGTATACATGGGATGGGGAGGGGCACAATAAGGAAGAAGGAAAGAAAATATTTTTATATGACTGCTGCATTGGCCAAAAACACACAATTTGCAGCTTTATGACATGACATTTTACAGTCAAAGTATAAACAATGTTGATTTTTAAAACAAAATTATATTCATATGTTTTAATACTGCCAGGCAAATTTTGGGAATAAACCAGATTCTAAACCAACATTAATGTCTGTTCATTCTTCTCAGGTTTACATTACTCCTTATTACATTTGGTTAAAAATTGGCATGATGTCATTGGAAGGTGAAAGTGTTGCCTAGCAGATATAACCTTTTAAAGTTATTGCTGACATATTTCGATAGACTTTTCCTGAAATTCAATTCCGGGAAACTCTGGTTGCAGGATTATTGTTTAAAACCAAAAACATCTTTTATTCCAGCATGCCTATTAATCATCTGTTTCTACTGAACACTAAAACTCAAAGTGGAAGCAAAATAGAATGGTAAGACGATACTACTGAGAATCAGGAATGTTAACATCTTCTTTCAAGCCTGAATAATCAAAGGTTATACTATCCTCAAGTCTACTCAAGAAGTTTACTAAATAAAATATAACTGGAAGACTCATAGAGGAACTGGTTACAATGAAAGGCATGTTACTTATATCAGAGCTGTGCAACCAACCCTTCTAAGTCCTTTCAAAGTAATAGCTAAAACCAGGGCTTTTTTTCTCATAGAATGCCCAGAACGGAGTTCTGGCACCTTTTTTGGATGGAACCTTGTAGGGTAGGCAAGGCAGGTTGTATGACGTGTGTGAGTTCCAGCACCTTTTTTTTTTTTTTAAGAGAGAAAAAAGCACTGGCTAAAACGAAAACTGGATATATAGCATAAGAACATTTCAAAAACATAGGAAGTAATTTTTTTTAATAAAGGCTCATAACAGGTATCCATAATTATTTTGACAGCAATACACAATTCATTCAGCTGCCTAGTCTAGATTACTACCTTTGAATTCTGGAGGTTTTCTAAGTTCTAATCAAGTTTTAATGTTTTAAGAATAGCCAAACAAGCAATCATATTAATATTATTTATTCTACTTTAATTTTTTTATCCTATTTGCATTCTTATTAGAATTCATCCTCAATATGTCAATCAAAGACTAAACACAATCCTTATCCTGGAAAATGTTTTTTTTCCCTTCCATTTAATCATGTCTTATTTTTGGAGACGGTCCGGATAAGTCCCTACAGTTTTCTCAGCAAGGTTTTTCAGAAATGGCTTGCCGTTGAGTCCTTCACAGGGCTGAATGTGACAGGAGTCAGCCTTTGTACCTAAAGCGGAACTCAAACTCACAATATCTTGGCTTCTAGCATGATGCCTTAACCCAGTGATGGCGAACCTTTTAGAGAACGAGTGCCCAAACTGCAACCCAAAACCCACTTATTTATCGCCGGGTGCTAGGTAGGCGTGGGCCACTGGGTGGGCATGGCTGTGGACATGGCAAACTGGGTGGGTGTGGCCAAGGTGGGCATGGTCACCTTGATGTTGCTTTTGGGAAGGGATGCCTGTGGGGGCCGGGCAAGGTTGGGGGAGATCCAGGGTGTCTCTGGCAGATGGGGTGGTGGGCAGGAAGCTCGTCCTGCGGGGTGAGGCGAGGCAAGACGAGGCAGGCAGGGGTGCCATTGTCGCAGGGCAAGGCGAGATAGGGGCCAGGGCAGCTACTGCCTGACACCATCGGCCCACACACACAGAGGCCAGCGAGCACATGGGGGCCGACAGTGTCCATCAGCAGCTACAGCCTGCCGGCCCCTTGACCAGCGCACACTGGGCTCCGCAGCCCGCTGCCAGCAGTTCAGAGAAGCCGCCTCTGAGCTGGCCGACCGACAGCTAAGGAGGCGATGCAGTGGGTCGTGCCTAGGAAAAGGACAGCATGCGAGGCCAGGAGGGATAGGACAGGGGGAGGGAAACCAGTCATGCTGGGATGCATTTGGCCACGTGGGACCTTGGTGAGTTAGCAGGCGACTGGTTGAAGAGGGATGGTTGCCATCTCCGGGGCATGGTGTGCATGCCCACAGCGAGGGCTCTGAGTGCCGCCTCTGGCACGCGTGCCGTAGGTTCGCCACCACTGCCTTAACCACTATACTAGGGGTAGGGAAACTTGGCTCTTTTATGACTTGTGGACGTCAATACCCAGAATTCCTGAACCAGCCATGCTGACTCAGGAATTTTTGGAGTTGAAGTCCACAAGTCATAAAAGAGCCAAGGTTCCCTACGCCTGCACTATACCATTTATATACAATCTTGATTTATTTGATATAAAGAGAAACTCTAGCTCATGGAAATGCAATGGGATAGAAGAATCACTCCAAATCAGGCAGCATATTTTGGACTGTAGGCAAGGTTTTCAGTGTCAAACAATTCTTCATTTCTGTTACATCCCTATAAAATACCATCCCTGATATCTATTGTGTCCCTTGGAGAGGAGTTAAAAAAAGTCTGGCAGGAGGAGGAGGAGGAGGAGGAGGAGGAGGAGGAGGAGGAGGAGGAGGAGGAGGAGGAGGAGGAGGAGGAGGAGGAGGAGGAAGAGGAGGATCTTTGTAGAAGTTGGCCTTGACACCGAATATCATCCCATACAAATAGATTCAAATAATTTTTTACTCATAGTATTATACACAGAATCAACAAGGGCAGTTTACAAAAATAGTGTCAATTAATTTTGATGGTTAAGTTACCCACCATAATTATAACAATGGTAGGCAGCAAGCTGCACTTCAGATGTTCTGCTCTACAGCTTTCCTAAGTTTCAACTAGTTGTTGCCTCCAAACTGTAAAACCACTAAACAATCTTAACCATCATTAAATTCTATTCTCATGTATCAATAATGCAAAAGCACTTTAAATTTGATTGTCACTCATTAATTTTTTAAACAAAGATTAAAATTCATTGATGGTAAACACTAATAGTCTAGTACTTACAAAGTTCAATGAGACATTAATTTAGAGGAAAGATTTGCCTTTGGTGAGATGGGCAGCTATATAAATTTAATCAATAATAATTTGCTAGTAGCATTTCCTCGTCAGTGGTCACTTTGCACATTCAAGTTATTGATACTGAACAATTAAATTGTGAATATGTATTTCTAAACTGATCCCTAGTAGAATAAACACTATAGGCTAAAAATTTGTCCCTAATTTAAAAAATATAGGGTTTCCAACATTTTCGAATCCCTTTCAAATCCAAAATAGAAAGTAGTAATTATAAATCTCTTTATTTTAATATTTATGTAAGAGTATAACTTCAGATTTAATCATATTAAACTAATTCTGAAATGTTCTGATGGCATAAAATTACAATTTGAACATATTTTCCTCTCATATACTACAATTCCCAGGCACCTTTTTTGATTTGACATTGTTTGTTATTCAAACGAACTAGTACAATATGATTTGTGAATATTAAGAAAAGAATCAGTGTGCAGGAAAGAAACATGAGGTAAATGTTGGTTTCTGACACACACACATAAACACACTGAAGCAACAATTTAATGTTATTAAATTAAGCTCTTATTAAACTGTGAGATCTAAAATTAACCCAAATAGCCACATCTATTAGAATAACTGTTACATTGCAAGTTTTTACCTGTTCTTTTATGTTTGTCCACATAACAATACTTCAGTTCAAAGTGTTTTAATAACTCATGGATTTCCTAAAAGAAAAACAATGCATGATTAAATACAAATGCAATGGAATGACTCTTTTTATTTCAGCTTAGAGATCTGAAAATGTTCCAAGTAGAAAATTATTCTGGAGACATGCTGCCAGAAAATATTAGTTAACTATCAATATGAGCACAGCGCAATTCAACAATGTGCAGGACCCTCTAAACAGCAGAATTCACAACACAAGGCATTTCCTCACAGTGATATTTTCTATCAGCTACATTATACTACATATTCTTTGCAGAAACAGAATACCAGAAATACCGATCCTCAAAAACTTAACCATGAAATGTATGAAATTAAACCTCAACCCAATTAGCTGCCCCAACATCTATGTTCACAGGGCAATCCCATCTGCTACCAGAATTTAACGTCATTTGAGACATCAGTATTGAATTTTGAAAACCTGTTTTTTATTATTGTGAAATAAGGCTGCATAGGAGTAGAAAATCCCCCCCCCCATTTCTATTAACTTTCTTCTGCTGTAAAGCATTTTTCCTCCTCTATAATTAATTGTATGGTGCAAATCCTCATGGAATACAATAAATAGCATCTGCATCCTGTTCCTCTAGTGTATTGATAAGAAAAGGATCAGCAAAGAAAAACATTTGAATGCTGGAGTGTACAAGGCTAGGCTTCCAGCTAAATATTGATTTTATCCTGAGTCCATAATTCATATAAATCACACTTATACTATTATGAATTGGCACTGTTATTGTTATGTAGACCCACTGCTGTACTTGTTGCAATTCATGCAATTCATGTTGATAATATTAAGATAATTCTAGAAGGAACATTATTATTTTTTAATTGCTTTTTAAAATTGGAATTACATTCTGCCTTTTCTCCAGACAGGTAGCTTGGAAATGTACTTTCATTTTATCTCCATTACAAGGAGATAAGACCAGGTGAAAAAGAGTGACTAATGCAAATCCACCAGATGAGTTTCCATGGTATAGGGCAGGGGTCTTCAAATTTGGCCCTTTTATGACTTGTGGACTTCAACTCCCAGAATTCCTCAGCCAGAGTGCCTGGCTGAGGAATTCTGGGAGTTGGAGTCCACAATTCATAAAAGGGCCAAGTTTGAAAACCTCTGGTATAGGGTGTTTCGGTTCTCACTAGTCTTTGTCCATTTTACCATCTATCTTTTTTTATGTAGGGTGGGCCAGAACTTTGGAGTCTTTGATTGACATATGATGTGCCATCAAATCAGTGTCGCTGTTTAGCAACCATACAGATTTTCTCCATGGTGAGGCTGGTTCTTCAGATTTTCCAGTTGTGAACCCATCAGCCTCTAATTGAGTCTATCCAGTTAATCTCAAATATAAAAGGTAAGGAACAGTCAGATCTGATTTTACTACTCAGCTTCCATTCAAGTGGGACAAAGAGCACTCTGTTCTACTAAGAATACAAAATTTCAAATGTTACAGTAACGTCAAAATTTGTATCTTTCTTATACTGTGTTTGTTAGTTTGTATGATTATGAAGAGGATGAAATTCAACATATATCTGAAGTTCAGGGGGATGGAAAGAAAGTAAACTATAGAGCATCTTTACTTGATAGGTTAATTACACTATCTTCTATCTAAATAATCTGGACCCCCATCATTTAGTTACAGTAAACAATAAATATGTGCTTGGATTTTATTACATGTTATCAGAGATGTAGAGCAGACATGTCAAACACAAGGCCCGGGGACTGGATGCAGCCCGCGAAGTGGTTTCATGTGGCCCGCGAAGCCATCCTGGAAACAGTGAGGGAATGGCCCCCACTGCCTTGGCCCTGGCCCAGGCCAGCCGGGAGCCAATGTACAATTTTGTGGTAGCCATCTATGCTGAAATGCATTCAGTCTTAGCTCCACAAGGCTGTCCAGAAACAGCGAAGAACCAGCCCCTGCCGTGTTGGCCCCGCCCCCTGGGTACATGCTGGGGAGGTATCACCCTTTGTCAGGAATGAAGAAATGCACCACCCCTTGGCACTTGCTCCGGTCCACCCCCTTCTGCCAGATCTGTCCCACTCTTGCCCAGGCCTCCACAGGCATCCTTGACACGAACGATGTAGAGCTGGCCATGCCCACCCAGTAAGCCACACCCACTCAATTCACGCCCACCCAGTAGGCCGCACCCACCCTGGCCAAACCTACCCGGCCCCCCAAGGGCAACCGCAATGCTGATGCAGCCCTCAATGAAATTGAGCTTGACACCCCTGATGTAGAGGATTGAAAGTTTTGTCTCTTATTCTATTTCTGTTATTAAATTACAGTACTGAAAACATCTGATTTTGCCACAGTGCACGCTGTGGCTCCTCTGGGTGTTGCAAAATGGGGGCTGAGGAATTGTCTATTGACTACCACCTCTTTGTATACCTTGTAGGTATGTCTTTACTGAATTCAGATTTAATGTCATATATTCTGCTTTTATAGAGATCAATACACAAATGGTGATAAATGGTGACTCACTTTTATAAAGTGATATGGCCCATTTAGTGTTCTTTGATGAAATTCCATTAGAATAAATAATAATTACTGTTACTCAGATCCTTTTCGTGCCAACAGACAATGTAAATTGATATTCTGTGTTTCCTGATCTGTTTTAGCAACTAGAAATCCTAAAGTCAAAGTTGGTATGCAGTCGTGGTTTCTTGATATTATATGTCATTTTGGTCATGTTTGCTTTTGTAGATTGCATAGATTCACTTGACTGAAATGGCACAAAAGCACTATAATAAATAAATTAGTGATAGTGGTAGTGATCTTGAGGTTTAGAGGAAACAAGGGCTGTACAGGTTATATTTAAGATGGGTCATTTGGAAAAGTTGGGGAACAATTTCCAGGAAAAGAAGCTTAGGAGATACCAGGTCAAGAGTAGTTGCAGTTCACAGAAAACAAATCATCTAATTTTCTTTCTTACTCAACAATGTTAGCAAAATAAATTATATTTGGGTTAGATTGGATTTGGATTGGATTGGATTGGACTGGATGAGATTAGGATACCTGAGCTGAGATTAGGTTTTCACACACAAAAATACGGCTGTGTGAAGGAACTGTGTGATAAAATGCCAAAATAAAACAATGTATTAGTTCAGATTGAGAAGCACATTTTAAATTTTGTTAAGTGCAAGTGTTATGCTAGACTTCTATTGTTAAGATTATTTTTCAACTTTAGATATTTCAAAAAATGTGCTCCCCTGTAGTCTGTATTTATATATGTACAGCGTTATTTATTTATTTCATATTATTAATTTTACATTCTGTCTTTTTTTCTTATATAAGCACTCAGAGCAATTTTGCTATAATTAAATGTCCACTTATGTCAGTGGAACCAGTACAATCAACATTAAAATCAATAGCAACAATAACAAAATAACAATAACAATAACAAAAGTTTGATGAAAGAAATACATTTCTGCCACTTGATCATTTCCTGGGAGTATGAGACCTAAATGCATCTCTCTGGGAAAAATATTTTATTACTTGGAAGTCATAGACAAGATGGCTTATCCCAGGGGTAGGCAACCTTGGCTCTTTTATGACTCGTGGACTTCAACTCCCAGAATTCCTGAGCCAGCATGGGAGTTAAAGTCCATGAGTCATAAAAGAGCCAAGGTTGCCTATCCCTGGCCTATCCTATATAGCCAGTAACAGAGATCCTGAATATGAGGGCATCTTCAGGAGAGCCTCTGCTGTTAATCTAAGTAACTGGGCAGGTTCCCAACTATAAGAAATAGCTAGACCAGTGGTTCTCAACCTTTTTAATGCCGCGACCCCCAACCGGTCATAAGTCGAGGACTACTCAACCAGTCGTAAGTCGAGGACTACTCAGCTGGTGCAGCACCGTTTGCAGAATGGGACTTTTGGCGGGCTCAGCAGGGCAGAGACAGCCTGGACAATTCCTATTGGCTTTTGAAAGCCAATAGAATTAGACTCTATTCAAGAGAGTCTATTCTATTGGCTTTCAAAAGCCAATAGAATAAAAGGGAGTAGCACAGCTAAGGAAAAGGGGGGAAAAAATGGCGGACTGCGTTGTTTGGCGACCCCCGTGAAATGGTCGTTCGACCCCAAATGGGGTCCCGACCCACAGGTTGAGAACCACTGAGCAAGACCTTAAGTCATTTTAAAAATAAATAATCAAGTAATTAAGCAAGCAAATAAGTTCATATACAGTATTTTGAGATTCTTTGTTTATAAAAATAGGCCAAATGCTGTATATAGTTTCTAATTTGGATAACAATCCAAAATATGGGCAGAATTCCACATGTGCGAGCTGAAGAAACTTGGTCGTGTTGCAAGGAGGGCCTAAAAGATGCTGAAAAGAAGCTCAGTATCCGATGATAAGTAAAATCCCATCTGTACTTTGATTAGCTCCCATATATGGTCCAAGTACTGATGTGACCAAGTTTTAGTATGAACTAATTACGATTAGGCAAATGCACTGTATTAACCAATGGTTTGTTTAACCATGATCTTCTGAATATGCGATAACAGATTGGGGCTTTTCACAGCATGCTAAATTAATTAGCCTATGCAACATTTAAAAAACAACACCAAATAAAAGTTGTTGTCTGAGTGTATTGTGCAACTTGGCTTGTATTGTTACAGATTAAGTGCAGAATGAAAAGCTGAAATTTTAACGTAGCAGTTTTCACAGACACAATACAGAGATCACAGCAGGCAAAAATGGGAACAAGGAGAAAAGTTATATATTACCTGTCAGAGAGCAGTCCCAAAGTTAGTATTCATGCCTCCATATACAATTTTGGAGGGAAGTACAAGTAGTCCTCAAATTACAACTTACAACCATTCATTTAGTGACCATTCGAAGTTACAATGGCACTGAAAAAAGTGACTCATAACTGTGTTTCAAACTTACACAGTTGTAGCATCTCCATGGTCACATGATCAAAATTCGGACACTTGGCAACTGGAATGTGTTTATGAGGGTTGCATCGTCCCGGGACATGTGATCTCTTTTTATGACCTGACAAACA